GTTCATCATTTTCTTCAGGGAGTTTCTATCTCACAACAGATCTGGTTGAACTCCACTGGTAACTTTTTCTCACTAGAACTCCAGGAGTATCTCCTGAAATCAGTCACTAGTGAGCAGATGATTATTATCAGAATGGGTTTTGTGGAGATTTTAGAAATTTCACTGGTTGAAATCATGAGTCAATTGAAACTAGATTATTGAAATCTTAAAATGTGACTAATTTTTATAAATGTTTGTATATAATTACCGGAAATACATGTGATCAATATAAACCGGAAAAGTATGGTTGACCAAAAATAATGTAAATATCGAAATAATCACAAAGTTATTGAATCCAATGAAGGGTTATTTACTAAATTCATTGCACCTGTTAACCCTCTTGAAGGACTATCGATCGCCTATTAGCATTCTCCATCCAACTATCTCGTAAACAATCCTTTCCAATTGTTATTCATCCTTTTGATGTCTACTTCCAATACCCGGTGCAGTGTGTTCTTTGGTCTTCCTGTTTTATGTTTATCTTCATTATCACAAGTTAATGCTTGCTTCCTGATACAGTGTCGAAGGTGATTCCATAAAGTTCTCGCAGAGTTATTTAGTTACACATAAAAAATACAAATACACAGGTAGAAGCTTCGATTTTGTTTATTACGGTTTGGTGCATCGCGTTTGATTTGGTCAACAGATTCACAAGCACAATTTACAATTAGTAATTCCAAATATAGTGCAGTGAACGAGAACACAGGTGAGGACAGTCAAATATATTTCAACACAAAATTACAGAACATCTTAGTAAAATTTGAGAACTATACTATAAATACGTCATTTGCAAAAATATTCATCAATTGTTTCAGACTTCATTGTTATTTCGTTTCTACACTAATCATTCTCTATTCTTGTTCTCTTCTGTTCGATCTTCTAAGCCTTCTGCCACCAGGCATTTCACTTTCGATTTATAGGTGATACATACTACTTATTCTGTTAATTTTCACAGTCCGTACATTTGCCACACACACACACCACGATAGCATAATATAATTTGATAATGTGGCAAACAGTTATAATCTGCAAATGAATATAAAAATGTACGTATATTAATGATCGAATAATATGGGAACTTTTGATTGAAATCATGAGTTAATCGTAGTTAGACTAACATTGAAAATCCTGGAAGCATTGGACGGCCGTTTCGTCCTATTATGGAACTCCTCAGCAGTGCGCATCCACGATCCCATACTCCGCGAGATCTAAACCCGGGACCTATCAGTCTCGCGCCAAGGGCCTAACCAGCTAGACCACAGAGCCGGCATCCAATGGGTTCAATGTCTAACTTCAACCAATCCACGAAGTTGCGCGACCATCTTCCATTGTACTGAGGTAGACACCTGTTTCTACCCGACACGGATTAACTCCACTGGTCATGCCTTCTCATCAGAACTCCGAGAAGTTTCTCATGAAGCTAGTCACTAGTGAGCGCATGGTAATTATCAGTTTAGGGGTTCGAATTGATATAACAGTTTTATGGTTATTATCATTCATTGTCGGGAAATAGAAAAAGTCATGAAATAGATGAATAACAAATGGAAAGAGCTGGAAAGGATTGCCCAGAACAGGGTTGGATGGAGAGAGGCCTTTGCTCCTTCATGAGGAGTAACAGGCGTAAGTAAGTAAGTAATCACTTATTGTACAAATTAAATGGAATTCTAATAACAAATATAAATAATAATGAAAACAAGTTTACTTTATCTACAAATTGCATCACCTACAATATGAAGAAATGAGATTAGTACACAAATGAATGGGTAATATAAAACATAAAACTGAATAAACATATACATATAAACATAGATAATATAATCACATGCATATTTATGATGTGTGTGTGTAGTTTCAATTTACAGAACTATAATACTTTTATGTAATTAAGTACTACGAAAGGAAAGAGATATAATAATAACGGTGACACTTAATAATGATGTGGATAATGGTAGAATATAATAAACAATAATAAACTCTGTAATTAGGTTCATACCAAACAACTTTTATACTGATTAATCAGAAGAACTATAGGTGGAAACGTTGCGTTTAAATCTATCCAGAGTTGTGATGTACATAATTTAAATGTATGCAGCATAACTAACGAAATAAAATATGAGTAGTTGTACAATCGTAAGGTGTGAAATGGAAAGAGACTATTATTGAGCAAAAACAGGACTGAGTAGATGAGTTTTATAAGAATTATATAGTAAACTGAACATGACGTTTAGGTTTATTGTTTATGTTTCGATAACCTCATACCGATTAAGATGAAGGTATGAATATGCTATGAATATAAGTCTTTCATTTGACTTCGCATACTATAGCTAGACTAACACCATTTATGTGACGGTGACAATAAGAAAATAAATACTGGTTACGTCAGATAAATTAAATTCAGGCACCCGTTTATCTAAAGAGACATTTAACATGAAAGGTGAGAAGCGAAACAGAGAATGCAATTGATAAAAAACGCGACTCAGCCTTTGTGATCAGACAAAAATGAGCTACAGTCATGTGATAAATGGAACAAGCAGTACATACAAACACGCTCACAAAAACCAGTCAAGGTTAATGAACAAATGAATGACAAGATCAAAATGTGACTCAAGAAGAATAAATACATCTGTCTGCCCGAAATCCAGAATAAACGATGGGGTACTAGTAGTATTACACACTGCATACCTATTATTCTGCCTGAGTGATCTTTGTACTTAAAGTTCTCGGTTGGTTTGACATTGGCTTTGGTGTTTTTGAGTTCGTAAGTTTAGTTCTTTTCTATCTACGCTAAGCTTCTCTTGATCTTTCTCGTTGTCTGATAAGCCAGGTTTCAGTCTCTCTATCTAGACATTTCCATTCTATCCACGTTTTAGGGTAGTGTGTCATTTTTGTTAATCGTTTTGTGACTTCGTAGGGTCCCCATTACGGTGTAATTAGTGCTTTTCTACTATATCGATCCAAACAAACATGGACTGAATGTACTTAAGTGTTTGTTGATCATTTTGCAATACTTCTTCTAATAAATAGATGTTTATTCGAGTCGCTGCATGGTCTGTCAAAAAGGTCTCTACCTATTTGCGTTTTATCTTCTTAATTAACTCTTTGTCCTAGTAAAAACTAGTGTTGTGCTGTGGAATAGTCTCTCGGATACGCAGTTTGTATCTTCTTTTGTCGTTGCACAGATTTCGAAAGGTGAATACTGAGGCTGTAGTGCTTTTAGATCATAACCACACGAACTTTGAAGATGAACATGGAATTACTGAGAAGACTTATATTAAGTATGTAGCACTTGAAGAAGGTCAATAGTGGTGGATTTGGGAATGGCAGTAAAAAATGGCATGACTGCCTGTTAAATCCGGAACATCAATCTCAGCCACTGTGATATGAATCATATATTTCAAATATACTGGGTTCATATACCATAAAATAGAAAACAACATGTTTACAAGACTTAGCTAAAAGCGGCTGTGAATGTGGGAGATAGTAATTGATGGATTAAGCATAACTCAAGAACGGTAAATCGTACATTTGTAGTGACCTACTTTTATCAAGAGAACGCGATTGGTGTAATGGAAACAGTTATTATTATAACCAATTGTACCAGGGATTGTTTCACCGTACTTGTTTGTTTAACTGTACCAAAACAAATACATTCTCCCGTTGCACGTGACTTTGCACGATTTTGGTTATGCTCAGTGACCACAATTGTAACCTGGCACGATCTTGGTATCCTTTCGATACCACCAGATCGCCAGCAAATACATCTCGACTACATCCGTCAACTGCCTTCTGATATTCGGCTTACGAGGGATCTTATCGGTTAACTGCCACGTAGTCTTCCTGTAGTGGTGATCATAGTCAACCGCGACTCGAAGCCACACTACATATTAACAGTTCATAGGTCGAAAATAAAATTTCTAATTAGAGGTATACCTATAATGTAATGTAGGCTTACCGTGGTTACAGACAGTAAAAGTACAACCATCTTCATCTGAAACTCAATCATCGGACAATTTTGTCATTATTCTGAGCATGAGATTGGCTGTAAAGTCGTGTTTTATACCACAAGTACATGGTAAATCGGGTCACCACTTTCAAAATTTCAAGAAAAACAATCATTTTCTGAGAAAAACTAGAGCTCAATTTTTTTCACCAAGAAATAACCTCACTGATAATACTGTCATCATAACATTAAATCCAGTAGTTTGTCATTGAAAAGTTTCTATCAGGCGTTTTAACTATAAAAATGAAGCTCTAGAAAGTTAGTTACCCTAACTGCTTATTTATAACGATTTTAAAATACCAGGATACAATTAAAATTCACAGAAACATCAAGTGATGAATTATATCGTATGTCTCTGACACTCGTTAGCTAGGAGTGCTCATAATCTTGAGGGGGCTGATTCCTCCAGATAGATTAGAACCTGCATAGCTCCACTTCCCAATCTGAAATGTCATCATCAGTCTACTCAGGATGCGCTTCACCTCTGATGACCTGATATACCTATACTTGACTGATCGTGGAGTGGAGATTAATGTTGCGTTTGTCAAGCCCCTCAAGACTGATGACACTAGCACTGAGACTGGACCCATGAGTGCATTCAGCAATCAAGAAAAACCGCACCGAACACTATTCAGTGATCAACCAATTGCAACTAGATTTCGTTCTTGTCAAAATTAAGCCGTAAAACAGATCCTTCTTGTAATTTAAACCAGTAGCTTTCAGTAAGAAAAAACCTTCGCAACCGGTTATCCCGTGCGTTGATTTTTTCTGATTTATGAATTATTGATATTATTCACCAAAAATAGCACCTGATGATACGCTCATTTTTGCATCAGATTCCCTCGTACCATTAATCTCTAATAAATAACATAGGTTATAAAAGTCGTGTCAGTTCAAGGATTTGTTTTACTATTTTGTTTACACGATTCTCTTACAGTACATATTCAGTTAGTGCGTTACGATGTCGTCGGAATCAGGACTTGAGACTGACTATTTGACGTTGACACGCTTCATTATACAAGAACAGAGAAAATTCCCGTCAGCTACAGGTGAGCTGACACAGCTGATGAATGGCCTGCAAACAGCTATTAAGGCTGTCTCAATAGCTGTTCGTAAAGCAGGGATGATTAATCTGTAAGTTTTCTATTTAGGTTATTATACAGTTTTTTCATCATTTCGGTATGACTTCACTTGACTGTTAAAAACAATTTTGTCCCAAACTTTAGATTTTTGGCAAAATTCATTACCAGACATTCGATATGTGGGTATATTCGCTGACGATTCTCGGCACTGTTGACTGTGGCACCACTGTCCAATTAGGAATTTCACGGTGTCAAAAAGACAACTGTTGGCTCACATCGATTTATATAAAAATATTTTTCGGAAAATATGGGCTGTGCAACATTTGTTTTTAAATGGTTGCATATAGCTCTAAATAGTTGTTTACTGAGACTAATTTGCAACTTTAAAGATATTACTCTTCCCAGCATTTAGTTTGCAATCAAATTTAACTATTACTTTGGGGAAATTCGACATTAAATTATCAGACAAATTTAAGGGTTAGGTTTTGGATTTTGCTTGTTAACTGAAAGGTCATATTGACTAGTAAGGACAAATTCGAAAACCCTATGCTTGACAACTAAAATTGATCAGAACTAAGTTTAAAAAATGTCGCTGTTAAGTACTGAGAAATCTTCTGGCCGTCGGTGTCTATGATGTGTAACTGGTGGTTTACCAAATACGGACTGGTCTTTGTTTGCTGACCTTCTTTGTATGAACTTATGAAGTAATATTTTAGAATCACGACAAGACTTAGAAAAACTTTGGAAAATTTTTGAATTTCATAATTTTTTTCAGTGACTTACTACACACATATACAGGCAAACTGTTAAGTGCTTATAAATCAACTGTGGTGTTGATTATATATGTTTACTATGGAGTCAGTATTAACACTTTAAAAGTGTCTTTTGCTTTTCGGTGAATATTATTCCTAAATTGGGACTGAAGTTTTAAAAACAATTGAATTCTATGACCACTGGAGCTCATATATAATAACAACGCTATATGATTCCTGTTCTGTCCAGTTAATTTCTTTTCCTAAAATAGATTTATCATCTAAAACTAATATGTAGAAACACATTGCTAATAAAACAAACTGAGTGCCTTGGCTCATTTCAAACAGTTTCTGTATAAAAGACAGTAATCCGTCGTGAAAACGTATTTTAGATCCACTTAATTCATTTAGTCTCATGAGCAACATAAGAAACCCTATTATATTATTAGCTCCTCGATTATTTATTTTAGTAGTTATCAAAATAGGTAAAGTACAGCGCTGTTGATTATTGTGTACCTAATTCCGAGCTATACCAATGCACTTCATTTGTAAAGATGGTACATCCATACTAAAGTATTTCTTTCATATTTTGTAGGCAATCATTGAAACGCCAGTAGATTATTAGGCAGTTGACTCCAAATAAGGTCAAATTTCAGAGAAAACCTTGACTTCAGTAGTAGAATTAAAGTTATTCCACTGTATTAGAGATCACTCTCACTTTTAGTAAAATAGTTTTTGTCCTACATACTGCTATTCAGTCGATTCTGTTTTCCAATGTGTTCACATCAATCGAAGTTTATTATTTGCCCAATTTATATACTGTAATCATTTTACCAACATTTGGATCATCCTAGCTTACTTCAGCTGGACATAATGAACAGCATCCTCCAAGATATTTTCAGTTTTAAACATTCTTTCTATCACTTTTCATTAGGTATTTTATGGAAAGAAGCAAAGCAAAATATTTGGAATTCAACTGATTTCTACTAGCTTTAATTGAAAACAGCCATGTTTGCTTTCTAAAGATCCACTGAATTACTAATTATATCTCGTTTAGTTAGGTTATAAACCAAAATTTTATCTTAGTAACATTTACCTTCATTACAAGTGGTTTCTGTATCACTTGACCTATTATCGTCGTGTTAAACATCAGGCTTTGAATTGTTATCACTTTATCTACTCATGTAATTAATAAAAAGTAGGTAATTACATAGATTTCAAATTATATCCATTCGTAAAATTGCTGCTGTAATACATCTAATTCACTTTCAAAATTTAAATTATGCTTTGGAAGGGTATATAGTTTCTGATGGAGTTTTTTTCTCTGAGCTGGATGGTTTCGTCTACCAAGCTATTGACATATCGATTACAAGTTGGAAGAAAGAGGATTAGTCATAATAAAAGTATTTGTTCGAAAATCAAGCAGTTGCTACGTTGCGTAATATATAAAAAAGAAGGAACTAACAGAATATTTTAATGAATGGTCAGTGGTATAGTAGTTATGTAAGAATCGAGAGACGAATATTGTGAATAAGTAAAATGCAAAACATGAAAGAAATACGAAAACAGTTTTTCAAATTTCTGCTACAAACTCCCCTATACCGATGGCCATGGTAGCGACAGTGGTTGTACAAACGTTTTTTGGATGCAAATGTTAGGTATGTGAATATGGATTGCAATGGCTTCAGCAGTGTGCAAAAGACGCACTCGTAAACCATGTAGTAAATTTCATGGAATATGGTGGATAACCTTAAAAGCTTTAATCAGTTCAATTTGATAACCTGTGTCCACCAAGTGACCGAGAATAGAACTCTTAATCGCTCTTATCTGTCCTTTGAACAACCACGACGGATAGTATTCTGTTATACGATGACGAACCTGTCGAACAATACGCCTTATATATATATATAATGTTACGTACACAATGTTCAAACAACTGCCTTCGACTTAAAAACAGTGCTATTGTTTTTTTCTATTTCTTTATTTCACTTAATTGGTGGATATTTATTTTCGTCTATTAGCTTTATCCACACAGTTATAGGCTGATAACAACTTTTTAGTCTGTAACTACATAATTATTGTGTTATAAAATTTTGACTATTTCTCATCCTTTCTCATATTAGATATAAATAAATAGTAAACTTAAATGTCAGATGTTTTCTTGTTTTAACTATGAAATAAGTCGATTTTATGCGAACTTTTAATTTATACGTTAAGTTTTGTTCAGTAAAAAGGATGGAGAACGAAGGGCCCCCAAATGCTCTGGTACGGCCGAGAGTGGGGAAAGTCCGCTCCCCCTCTCGTAATGCTCTCACATGGCCACGCGTATATAGCCTCTGCCAGGGAAGTCCTACTCACTGCCTTCTCGCACCAAGGTGTTGTTTACGAAAATGAGAGCACGAAAAGCGAATGTTCGGCACTTTAACCGGGTTGATGGACATAGAGATTCCATCTAGGGGAGTTGGAAAATCCTGATTTCAAATCAATGGTGCACATGGGCTCCAGTATCCTGGAGGAACAAATGGTGTAGAAACCAATCGTCGTTCACCGGCTACCATGGGACTGCATTCCCTCACGATGTTCCACTGTCTTGTGGATCAGACCTTCAAGTCAAAGGCTCTGGGTGTGGCCTCCTGAGGGGACCACCTGTGTCGGTTTGGGCACCCGGGCAGTATCACAGCCCTCAGACATATCGAATGAGATTTGTGTGGCGTTTATGTATTTGATGCCTTCTTGTACCAATATCTATGTTCTTAAATAAAATAAGAAAATAGAGAGCGAAGGAAAACGATTCTTACATGTATCGATTAATAAATACTTCACTTGTGTATGAATATTTTATTGTACTAGAAATTGGAATGATAAAATTCGTTTTGTACACATATATAAACATATCTCATATCTATGCCAAATAGTCTGGAATAATACTTTTTTGGATACAGAGTTATCAGGATACATACTAAAGGACATTCACAACATCAATGTTTTGCGTATATCACAGTTATCAGTTTCAAAGAATTGGCTAAATTTCCAAGAAATTGTTTCGTTTTTTAGTATTGGGAAGTATATTGTTTTATATGCTCCTTTTGGAAGCTATTCATTCTTTGATTTGTGAATATGTTAAGAATAAATACGTGTTTTGGGTCAAACCAAAGTATATTCATAAGTTTGCATACAATTGTGTGACAAGGTAAATCAACTATGCAATGACTGCTTTCTAACTGTGTCTAGGCTGACTAGCGTTGGGAGAAAGTTAGGTGAGGCCAGACCAAAACTTGTCACCACCAGTCCATAAAGTCGCTAACTTCTTCTCTGAGCTATTTTAATAAATGCAGACTACTTGGTTGGGTTTCGTACGACTATCGTAGCCAATGGTTGGACATGGATCACAATGGCGTAGATGTATACACTCTTTGTCTTCCCTTAAACCGTGAAATTAAAATAACCTTTTACTTTTCTTTTTATGAACCAATTCTTTCTCCTTGTATTATATCTTTTTATGTCATCTTTCTTTTATATATTACTACCATTAAAGTATCTACTATGAATTCGGTAGTCATCTTATTGTGCTAATGAGGTGCTGCCAAGTTTTCATTGGTAGTCTGGTTAATATCAATTTGTCAGTTATACTAATAACATCCTACAATCTCGACAAATATCTTATACTAACAGAAACTTACACTTATTTGTACAAAATGCATACAATATTTCTCATGAATAAACTTGACTAAAGTAAGAGTATCAAACGTAACAGAATAAGCAACATTCAATCCTTTCATACTTATTCATTTCATTCTATTCATCTTTATCAATATATAATATACATTTAAAAGGAGTTGAAGAAGCAAAGCTATGAAATCAAGCTATGAATCTATCTTCATCTACTATGTTGTTATTGTTCTTGTATACATCATATTCAACTACCATACTTAACCTTATCTCAGATATCTTTCCTTCTTTTTTTATTTCAAATGTTATTTTTCTCATTATCTATTTAGTTATGGTTTAACTGGTTCCAGTAATGTTCAAGGTGAAGATGTGAAAAAGTTAGATGTTCTATCCAATGATTTATTTATCAATATGTTAAAATCATCTTATTCAACATGTTTACTTATCTCAGAAGAAAATGATGAAGCTATAGAAGTGGAATTCGATAAACGAGTTAGTGATTATGATAATAATTATTTTGAGTTAAATTTGTTATAATTTGTAGCCTGTGAGCCTTGTTAATGTATAACATGATGATACCGCCAATTAGAGCAGCAGTGACTTATCAATAGGACCAGTGACGTTTAGAGTATTTACCAGTCCTGCTTCCTGCTTAGCCCAGCCAGTTAAGTCTAGAACACCAATCTCAGCCTCTGCGATATGAATCATGTATTTCAAACAGACTGGGTTTATATACACCGGCCAAACAGACCACATCGTACCATAAAATAGGAAATAACATTTGTACAAGATCTAGCCAAAAGTGGCCGTGAATATGGGAGACTGTAATGAATAGACTGGGCATAACGCGAGAATGGCGAATCGTATAATAATAGTTTTTAGGTCAAAATAAAGCTCATAATATGATGGACACAATTATACGATAAAAAAATACGTTTAGTATTGGTGCATAAATGGATCCCAAAAGTTACCATTCATTATTCTCATCGGGACATAACAAAATTCTTAATGTTAGTTCTTAAAAGTATGCCTTGTCTTTTAAAAAAAAGAATAGGGATATTCCAATGACATTATTTAATAAAGCAATCAGTAAATAGATACAGGAGAAAGATTTCAACAACTCTGGGCATATTACCCCCACCGAAGTCATCTTTTTGACTAATCCACACAGGATCAAATAGAGGTTAAAACAAAAACGTGTACATTGCTAAGGTTCTGGCACTTCACCTATTCAAGCCTAAACTCTACAGGGTAAAAGGACCACATTCAATTTCTTAATCTTCTGTAATCCTAACAGTCTTTCTAGTCTGTTTTTCACTTTATTTTAGAACCGATTATTATTATTATTATCTAGTAACAATTTTTCACAGTTATTACTCACTTGTTATTATAACCTTAACGTTTTTCATGTCTTTATATCTGTGAAATGGACAAAGATCTCCTCTTCTTTAATCTGTAAATTATTTTCATCATTCTATATCTTCTTTAACCTTTCGGTCATTACTCAACCTACTTTGGATATACTTGAAATCTTCAAACACCTTATGATTTAATTTCTCTAGAAATACGATTGTACAACTTTAGTAAATGATGTTGTTATAATTCTCTCTCTTTATTATAACCTAGTTGTTCCTATTGCTTTGTATTCTCAGACATCGATTCACTTGACAAGTCCTCCAAACTAGAACATGGTTGAACAGGAAAAAGACTATATTCCAAATAACAAAGTTAGATGGAAGTAAGAAGCACAATCGGGAAAACGTTAGTATATTTATAGTTTTTACATGAGAAGATTCTAGAGTGTTCTCCAAGTATCGACTGGCACTGATTGGATAAGAATTAGCCAATCAGCGTGCACCAAAGCAGTCGTCCACTGAGTATGCTTTAATCCAATCTATGTCCCGCTAACAGATGTCTTGGAATCGGAAATTTTCTTAGTTGAATTGTTTCTAGACAAGTATTGAGATATAACTTTGAATTAAATAAAGTGGATTAATATATCAAATGCTAACACGAACTAACCATGTTATAATATCAAAAATGATTAGAGGAAATCAGAGTTTAAAAATCCTCTCGCTTTCTAATAGATTAAAAATTTGTTTATATGGGTGAGGGATTGTGGAGTTTGCGCAATTTTCTTAGTTTAAATGGCAAATTAATCATAACTACATCACCACTGAGAACTAGGAAGCATTACACTGCTGTTTTATTTGTTGAATTACATTATACAGTTGTTTCATGCCAGTATGGAAATCCTTAGGAGTGCATATCTACTACTCTTTTACACTGAGTCAGATCTGGGACATTTGGTTTCGTGCGCAAACTCTTAAACTCTAAATGGCTGAGCCGACTTCCATTTCTTGTAGTAGATAACTGTCTCACAGCCGGTCTGATCGTGGTGTGCACTGCTGAGGGGTCTTGTACTAGAATGAAACAGCTACGCAGAGCTTCCTAGTTCTCAGCGGTGGTGTATCTAGGATCAGTTTGTGATTTAAACTATGAAAATTCCGAAAACTTCACAAATTTCCTCATCCCTATAATTATTATGCACTTAGTAGCGATTGGCTTCGAGACGAAATTCTCAGAGTTCTAGTGATTAGCTATGATCAGTGTTCAGTGATTTGGTCACTGAATTCTTATTTTAAGTTACAATCTCCTAAAGTTGGTCTGACTCATAAAGTATCAAAATTAATCTGCATAGAATAGATTTAATTTTAATCAAAGAAACTTATTTTTTCTATTTAAATGTATTTCGAAATCGCCGTTGGCTTTTACAAACTCACATCATCTATGCCGTAGGTAAGATATATGGTCTACTAACTAAGTAGCAAATCTATTGCACATTGGTATACTTTGATTTACTTTGTGGATGTAAAATTGGATCTTTAAAAATAGGGGAAGTTCATGGGTTAGCAGGATATTGATCAAATAGTGTCTTCAAAGCATTCCTGACTGACAAGCATTGTCAACCGATGACTACCGAATAAGACGATATTGGATTCTTTTTACTAAACCATAACAAATCTATTGGCAAGGTTATGAATCTTTATCGGTTGAGATAATGTTTGCCTCACTTTCTATATGACTTAACTTCACCAGTAAATATTTTTGAACTTAAAGCATTGAATATATTAAGTTAGTGACTAAAGGTAATTGGATTAGAAGCCATAAACTTGTTTCTTATTATTTCATACACATTACCAAAATGTATCTTTAATCTTCAGGTGATTGATATTTCTTGTGTAAGTTGAATCCCAAGTCACTCAAGTTCACAATCATATATATGTTCCCACTGATTTACTCAAGACGTTAGCGATCTCCTTTATGTGGTTTAGTTATTTACTTGGTCCCCTAATGTGCACATTAGTTTGATTTGTTTTCATAATCAATAAGACAATCGCTAGTAAAGATTATCCGTACTTTCTAGTAGGCAGTTCATTGATCACGTCTCAAAGTGCATATTTAATATATTGGTTGTTTTAATCTCATCGTTAAAAGTGATGAACATTATAATATAAAACTATTCAACCATTTATATTGTATTGGTTTTAGGTCATTTTTTAACCATTAAATTGTCACATATAATAAGCATTATCAATTCATTTATCACATGGATAATAAATTATAATCAGAATGAAATCCAATTAAATAGGTCACTATTTTATCAATTTTTACCATTATGTATACTTATTGCTCCGTGATTGTAGTGTAGGTGTGCTACTTATATTGACATAAGTAGTATATGATGTTAGTCGTCAACAGAAGGTTTGGTAGCAGAAAGACAAGAGGATTGAACAATAAAGAATGGGACAGGATGCAATTTATATGGAAATGCGAGAACAATGAAGTCTGAGTCATTATGGAACAATTGATGGGCATTTTGCAAATTAAGCATTTACTTTATGATTGTTAGATTTTATTAACAAGTCCTATAATTTTGTGTTAAATACATTCGATTGTCGCCACTGGTGTTCTTGTTCACTACAGTAGTTGTATTACTCGACTTTAAATGGAGAATTTGACTCAATTAATCAGGAGTGTTTTTTTTTGACAGTGTCTCTTTGTCTGTCTATTGTTATTATATGTACCGAATATATGCATAAACCTTGTGATAGGTCTCTATACAAACACTATAATTTGATTTAGAGCTAATGACAAACTGTCACCAGAATTTTCAACTTTAATTGGTATTCGCCAGGGTTTCCAGTTGTCCCTCTTTTTATTTAATGCTTTCATCGATATCCTCCTATAAATCGCATGGATTGGTCTCCTACCAGCAAGCACAATTATTGATTTATACTACACAGATGGTATAGTTCTGCTATTTTTGTAGATGAAGCATCTTCTGAAGTCTGTGAGTAATAAAGCAGTTATGTCTGGGATCTGATTCTCTCAATATAAATACAAATTGTTTCTTTAGGACTGCCCTTCTCCGTCGTTTAAAATTATCATAAGGAGTGAAGTAGTTGCTTTCACTTTCCATGTCACTTTTCTTAGAGTCTCACTTAATCCTACTGGGTTGATGTCTGATGAAATCTCGGTACCGATCCAGAAAGCTTGGCTAGTATTTGGTGACTTTCATCTCTTTGTGTCGTAGTAAAGATGTCTCTCTGCCAATTAAAGGCTGAAGCAATTGAGACATGTTTGTGTATCCTCGATTACCTCCTACTTCGATGCTCAAAGTTGGTTGGTGTAGAAACAATTCGAAAGAAAGCCAGGTACAGCCAAGTCAAAACGTAACATTAGCTCATAAGATGGTTGACTGTTGGTCTGAGGCATGTTGGTAGGTGCAGACTATCTTTTTGAGGTCTGTGTGATGACCACAGTCATTGTTTAAGGATATTGAGTTGTGTGGCTGAGAATCAATCGAAATGAGCAGATGGATTCACTCCCCTTGATCTTGAATTCCAGCATTTGTTTATGCTTATCTTTTCATCTTGTTTTCTTAAACTATCTCTAATGTTTCATCTTTATCACTATCATTGTTACTACAGTTATTTTAACTCGTTTGCTATTTATCTTATTAACTCAATCTTGTGATTGTAGTGTCTAGTACTATATCAAGCCCACATAAGTTATTCTAGCTTACTGACAGACAAGTTTATTTATTTTTCTTGAGTCACATTTTAACATTAGCAATTATTCGCTTATATTAACCTTAACGTTTTATATAAACGTATATGTGTGTATCTCTTACCGTATTCATCATGTGTCTGTAGTTTACTTTTGTCTGACTATAAGTATTGAGTCACATTTTATCAAATGGAGTCTGTACTATTCCTTTCTCCGATCTGCTTCTTCGCTTCGTTTCTCATATTATCTGTCTGGAGTAACAAGTGTATGAAATATAAATATCCAGAACTCATTCTCGCATTTGACCCTTTTCATTCTGTTAATATTCAACGCTAACTAGATACGAGGGTAGCCGAGATGTATATTTCGTTAATGTCACTATACATTCAAATTGGAGTCAGATCAACGGGCCTCTAAATGCTGACTTAATATGATATCTCAGGCTCTAATATTGATTATTATTAATCGATTGGTGATAAACAAGGACTGTTGAAGAGTTTCAAAATATTCCTCGTAAAAGTCAATAGAAGCCCAGGAAACTCCTGGAGACGTTTTATCCTATCACTGTTGAATAGATGCTTCTCAGAACCATCTAGGAAGTGAAGAGTCACTTATCATATTTCTGATTGGATATTTATCCATCATGCTACCATATTTAGTATGGTTGCAGAACTCCGCAGATGCCCAAGGTCGTTTGTAACTCCATGAATACCCTTGTTTTTCTGTACATGAGGGAATATTGGAGTGAAGCATTCTTTTAACACTTCACGCCTTATTCCTTATGTTCAGGTTTCTGTGAGAAATTGAGCTCAGGTGTTGTTAGAAGCAGCTAAGAAATCGAATCGAGCGTTCATTATGGAAACTTAACGAGTGTATAGAATGCAAATATCTGTTTAATTAAATTAATTTATATAAAATTCACTTCGTTTTGTACAATCAGTGTTTTATCACTAAACCCTACATAAAGACCGGTTTAGATCAAAGTCAACCATATAAACTTGTACTTAATTACTGGATAACAATAAATTAAAACTGAGAAACATGATATGACCCGTGATTGTATTCATTAATGCAACTCCCTAGTTGGTTTTTAAATACAGATCTATCTTATTATTAGTAATAAACAGGTTTATTTTAAAACAATGGTAGGGATATATTTAATTAAATAATTTGAATTTCAGCTTATTGGACAATTGAATCATGATATTGTTTGTAAGAGGTATTTCATGGAGTTCTAGTAAGAAGCACTGACCAGTGGTGTTCAACCAGATCTGTTGTGAGATAGTAACTCACTGGAGACAATGGTAGATGTGTCGCTCAATTTAATGGATTGGTTGAAGTAAGACATCAACACCGTTGGATGCCGGCCAGCTCAGTGGTCTGAATGTTAAGCGCTCTCGCGCGAGACCGATAGGTCCTGGGTTCGAATCTCGCGGGACAGGATCGTGAATGCGCATTTCCACTGAGGAGTCCCACAAGCAGACAAAACGGTCGTCCAATGCTTCCAGGTTTTACATGATGGTCTAGGTTCAATTGACACATGATCTCAACCATCGAAAGTTTACATATCTGTTGAACTTTAGATATCTTATTATATAAGTTTAATTAGTAGTATAATGGACAAATCAATCAGATTTATGATAGCAGACTTTGAATTTTGGCGCAAAATTCATTCATCCGTATGATTAATCAGTATTTCGTCATTACCAGTCAGTCAGTCAGTTACAACGTAAGACCAGACACATATAGGTATTGGTTCAAGTTGCCATACCTCATCAACACCGGGTTCATAGAAGGGATTAATTCACTGATGTCAACGTATAAAAGAAAGATTGAGTATAAGGATATAGTATAGGAAGAAAGAATTAGTTCGTAGAAAAAATGATATGAAACGATTTTAATCTCATAGTTTAAGGGAAGACAGGGAGTGTATACACCTACACTTATTGTGATCGATTCTGAACCATGTCACACATAATGTCCAACCATTGGCTACGATAGTCATTATAGATGATGTCAATTCTTTATGGAAACTTTAACTCTAAATTCAAATCCTTATTCCTCACACTAATTTATAACCTTCTTTAAATCTTAGGCTGTAGGTGAACTTTCTTCAAGTCGCTTTCGCGTCCGTTATAAATTATGATAGCTAATAACTCGGTATTAGCTAAGATGGAGTTCTTATATTAAGTTTCAAATTGTATATGTTAGACATGTGGCAGTTGTATGTGTATTATGTAGTCTAATATTAATACATAAATTACTGTTACATGAATACGAGGCCAACCTATTTGTTGAGTGAGAGAAAACCAAGTGTGATTAGGAAGCTTTTATTCGCTTACCAAATCCACATATGTGTACAAATGTATCATTTCGAAAATTTTAAGTCATTAATGTATATATCTGTTTTTCTTTCCGAAAATTGAGCCAAATTTTGTCCATTCACGTGGACCTATCAACATCTTCCACTTATCATGTGGCCTTGAAGTTACATGTCTGATTCACTCGGTTTATCACCTTTCTTCCTGGAAAATAAGTTTTGCTTCAAATTCAGGTGTTGAAGTAAAGGCACGTCAACATCTCTAACTAAAGTGGATGAAGGGTGAGTAGACTTAACATTACTGAGATATAACCCTCATAACAATCAAATATCATTCACTTGGAAAAGGTTGCATTTTCCTTGTTCAAGTGTTGTAGAACTATTGAAACCAGATGATTATATGAAAACTGTTTGAAGCTGGCTACATGTTAGAATTAGAATGTATCTAATGTCAGGTCGTTGAAGGCAGTCTGGAGAATACTCTAGGCTTAGGTTTTATCCTAGTAAGCATTCATCAACAAAGCATAAGTGAAGTTTCTTAGCAACTGGTAGCTTTTGTAGGATCTGAACTCGCATCATCACTGAGTGAGCTATTCTAGCCATAATTAGCACATTTTTACAGCTTCTAGTTTATTCTCCATATTTTGATCAACTATCCTATAGGATTTGGTAGAGTTCTTTTAAACTGTACTTTTTTGTGAGTTACATCAACCTTGTCGTCAATTTGTGTGACATAATAACTTTCATGATGCTATTTCCTACCCTTTTTTTTTTACAAAACTATCATCTTTTATTCATTGTATTTTTTGTAGGGAAAATATATTGTTTGTTTTGATCCATTAGATGGTTCATCAAATATTGATTGTTTAGGTTCAATTGGTTCAATATTTCTTATTTTACGTTCATCATTACATAATGAGAAAAGTGAAATATCTCATAAATTAGCATTACAACCTGGTCGTCAAGCTGTTGCTGCTGGTTATGCTTTATACGGTAGTGCTACGATGTTTGTTTTAACTGTTGGAACTGGTGTACATGGTTTTACATTGGATCCAGTAAGCTCGAACTATTCCATTTATTATTATTATTATTATCATTACTGTGATGAGAATAGTATACTTTACTGATGACATTCAACAACTCTTAAAATCACCGTAAGAGAATGTAAAGCCAATTTTTAATCAATCAAATGAAAGTTAATATCAATGAATAATTTATAAAGTCAGTCAGTCAGTCAGCTACAACGTAGGACCAGGCACATATGTGCATCGGTCCAAGTTGCCATACCTCATTAACACAACAAGATGGACACCGGATTCATAAAAGTAGTTAATTCATTGATGGTAACATATAAAAGAAAGATTGAATATAAGGATATAGTACAGGAAGAAAGAATTAGTTCGCAGAAAGAAAGATATGAAGCGATTTTAATCTCTTAGTTTAAGGGAAGACAGAGAGTGTATACACCGACGCCATTGTGATCGATTCTGAGCCATGTCACCAAGAGTCTCCAACCATTGGTTACGATAGTCACGCGAACCCCAATCAAGTAGTCTGCATCTCCCAACATGGCTCAGACTAAAAGTTAGTGACTTCAAGCACTGATGCCATGTTTTGGTTTGGCCGCCCCTAACTTTATTCCAACCATGTCCAACACCAGTTAGCATTGCACGTCGTGGTGATTGGTGTTCAGGCTTAAAATGTTTAGAGTTAAGATTTTATCTCAGGAATACGGATTAGAAATAGACTTGAATAATAGTTTGTTGTGATATGGATGAATACTCATAGAGTTAAATCTTTGATTTCAAAAACTATGATAAGCATTTAATTTATCTTCAGAAATCAATAAATCATTGCCTCTATTCTTTAATATTGCCATGTTTATCAATTTTTGAACGATTTATTTATTGGATATTGATAGATTTATTTAACTTTTGATATGATACAAGCTATCTCTTACCTGTTCACAAATACCCTGGTACAGCCGAGAATGGGGAAAGTCAGCTCTCCCTATCGAAATGCTCTCACATGGTCATATGCATGCAACCACTGATAGGGAAGTCCTACTCAATGCCTTTTCGTGGCGCGGTTTTGTTTACGAAATTAAAAGGACAAAAAGCGAAAGTCCGGCGCTTTAACCGGGTTGGTGAACATGGAGAGTCCACCTTGGGGAGTTGGAAAACCCTGATTTCAAACTAATGGTGAGCGTGGGCTCCAGCATCCTAAGGAAATAAATGGCGTATGAACGAATTATTGGTCACCGACTACCATGGAACTGCATCTCCTTACGTTGCTCCACTGTCTTGTGGATCAGAGCTTTAGGTCAAAGGCTCCGGGTGTGACCCCCTAAGAAAACCACCAGCTTCCGTTCGGTCACCCGAACAGTATCACATCCCACACATAAATCAAGTGACTTGTGGCACATATGTATTTGGTGTCTCCTTGTACCAATATTTATGTGCTTAAATAAATAAATATCCCTTACCTGTTTCTCTATTTCACATAAAAATCCTTATTAGACTTGAACGAGTCATCAGTAAACGATACTCATTATTATTATTATTGTTATGGGTATCAAGTATTATTTATTATGTAGTTGTTAAATACGAAACCCATTTATGTATATGGAATAAAAGAGAAAATGTTACCGTTCAGATGAATGTTTTTATTAGAGTTCTGTTATCTGAGCAAGATGATTTAATTGTTCAGCTTTTATTCTCATTTTGGAAAAAAAACCCATCTTCAGTGCCTGTTCTATGTAAAATTCCGCTTTTAAGTTATTCGATAAGTGTTTGATCCATTCATTCAGATGACTTCGTTTGTCACTAGCTGTTTGTTGTAGATTTTGTTATCTTCGTTTATGTTTGCATTCCTGTTGATTGTCTTTCTTGATTGATCTCTGCCCTTGTGATCGATTGCTCTTTTACTGTATGAGCCTAAAGATTTCGGTCTATGTTGATGTGTTCTTTAATCACTAAGTGACCTGAATGGCATTGTTTTAGAAATCCTCTAGTATTCGTGGGGTTTATATAATCCAAAATATTGATGTTTCTGCAAACGAATTTGTTATTATCTAGAGCTTAGATTCTTAATATACCACGCAAATGAAAAGACAGAAGACAAGTGAATGGAATGTTATTCCAAATAGTGTCAATTATGGTACAAAACTGTCAGGTATTTATAAATTTTAGTAAAAACGAAATTATCATTATAGTCCTCCAATCCGCGTACGGCGGGTTACCAGCAATTGTTCAATAGAGAAGCTATACTCAGGGATTCTGGAATATTCTTCCAAAAGATGATTAACTGGTATATATTCGGTTCTTTGTGAGCTTCTTAGAGTTTTACCGAGTTCACCTGTGAGCCGTCCTCACAGAATTCATCCATTGTTACCGGTGATATTATCTCCTATCGATTCATTGATAATTTTCGTTCATTTATGAATAGATAAAGGAGTCGTCCAGTATATCGGATGTAATATTTCTTGCAGTTGATGTGATTTATCTTGTAAGTGATGCTCTTTGTCTGATACAACATCGTCAAGGAACTGGAACCTTTATTTTTAAACATTATTAAGACTTTTCTAACCTATTTTTTATTGCAATTCATTTGGTGTTGTTTTACTTGTATCTTCCCATTTCTATTTAGGACTGCAATTGACCAGTCTCTTCATAGCCTATGTGCATCCTGTGCGGATTGCCTCGATATAGTCTTAAGTCACAAGCTTTTTAAGCCAAGATGGATAATGGCTAGCAGTGGAGTCTCGGAGTGAACATCACCTTTGCGATGCACTTACATCCAGGTGACGAGTTCCAAATAGGACGAAACGTATGTCTTAGATTCCACTGCTAACCATTATCCATCTTTGCTTATTTTCCATTTCACTTTATATTCTTTAATATTTATATTAACTGTACAAACTGATTTTATCTTTGTCTAATATTTTTATTTCAGGCAATTGGTGAATTCATACTAACACATCCTAATATCTCTGTTAAACCACGTGGAAATATTTATTCAATTAATGAAGGTTATGCAAGTCTTTGGGATAATGCTATAACAGAATATATTCGAATGAAAAAATTTCCTGAAGTAATTTCGATGTTATTTTAATAGTTGAGATCATGAATTAATTGAAGTTAGACCACCATAGAAAACCTGGAAACACTAGACGGCCGTCTCGTCCGATTGTGGGACTCCTCGGCAGTGCTCATCTATCGTTGGGTGCCGGTTCAGTGGTTTAGAGGTTGAGCACTAGCGCGCGAGACCAATAGGTTCTGGGTTCGCATCTCTCGAGGCAGAGTCGTGGATACGCACTGCTGATGAGTCTTACAATCATACGGAACGACAGTCCATTGCTTCCAGGTTTTCCATGGTAGTCTAGATTCAATTGACTAATGATCTCAACTATTACAGTTACTATAGTATTCATAAAACCCCTTCTGATACTAAATTCTATGTATTTGAATATAACGCCTATATAGGAGATTATGTGTGTATGCCTTAGTTTCACCTTTAAAGCTATATATTTACTCTAACTGACTGAATAATGCATTAGGAACATCTCAGATTATGAAGTTGAATGTCATAGGTTGAAATTCCAGAAGAAGCTTTTCTGATAAGTACTAACCAACGATATAATCAAATCTAAGGTTTCCTGTTGACTAACTCCAGCCCTTCAATATCATAGTAGTGTGTTTACCTATGCACTAAATATAAATAGCGATTGTTCATTGACTTTTCATTTGTGTCTTCCTATCAATTAAATTCTTCTTTTTAGTTCATCCTGAAATTGTTGATTGTTTCCATGATTTTGTTTTTCTCTCCTTATAGTCGGGTAAACCTTATAGCGCACGTTATTGTGGATCTATGGTTGCTGATGTTCATCGTACATTAATTTATGGCGGAATCTTTCTTTACCCAAGTACAAAACAATCTCCTAAAGGAAAGGTAAATGGTTGCTTACTCATACGTTATTGTGTTTATTCCACATGGTAGATAATATTGCACATGAGTAAACATGTTTGTCGTTATGGTATACTACATTTTATAGAGAAGAGAAAGTGAGCCCTGGTCGTAGCTGCTACCTTGATACATTGGTTTGACTTGGATATTGTGATGATGAAGTCGTGTTATATTGGCTAGAACACTCGTTACTTTAGGTCCTAACACACCAGATAGGTCTGTTGGCGACTAAAAGCAGCCACTTCAGATCTTAGAGTGGAATCGTATTGATGACTGTACCGGAAAGTAACAATAGTAAGTTTCAACTAAACACATAGCACTTTCAGGGATTTTAAAAATAACACACTTCCCATTACTTCACAGATTCCCATTGCTGGCGATGTGTCCTTAATTGTGCAAAGCTGACACATTAAGAACTATTCATCAAAAGGCCGAATATGTCCTTTGGGCCTCTATGATCACGTTCTCAGTTCATCAGGACCACTTTTAATCTAGTTTTCTTTTTAAGCACCTCACGAAGAATTATTCTTCCATGGTGTAGACAACTGGGAATCGATAACTGCATTCACAACTCTTACTGTGTTCGAGTACACAGTGTCAATGAACGATACTCTTTAACACTAATGATCCAAGATTAATATGATTTTCCAACATTTTTTTCTGTTGTTACTATATGTTTAGTGTATCAGCAGGATGTAAAAGAAATGGTTACTGTGTCAAAAATATAAAAACGTACAACTACCAAAAATATTTAGATAAACAATCTGTTACTATCATCATTAATCTGCTTATTAACTGAAGAAGATCATAAAGTGAATTTTGTAAACAACATTGATGTAGCTAAGGTTACTAATTATAAATTAAATTCAACGATCTTTACAACTCCATGCTGATAATTATCATGTGCTCACTTGTAACTAGCTTATAGTGGAAGTTTTCAGAGTTCTAGTGAGAAGCCATGAACAGTGAAGTTAAACTGTATCGGGTGTTGAGGAAGTTGCCCACCGAAGACAATGGAAGATGGTCGCACAATGTCATGGATTAATTGAGGTCAGACATTAAAACCATTGAATTCCGACTCAGTGACCTAGATATTAAGAGTTCCCACATAAGACCAAAGATCTTGTGTTAGATTCTCGGATGTTGGATCGTGAGTGTGCACTACCTAGAGTCCTATACTACGATGAAATGTCTATTCAGTACTTCGATGTTTACAATGGTTGTCTAAATTAGATCAACTCATGATTTCAATGAAATTTAATTATCTCCACAACTCTATGACTGACAAATATACAAGTTGTCACGGTTTATATTTATATCAAGCAAGTATAAACTAACACAATCTGATAATGAAAAATGTAAAATTGACTGATCACTAGTTGAAAAGCAGAGTCAACAATATCACATTTGTGTTGTCCTCAATATTGATCTAATTCTATTTATTAAGTTGAGCATTAATCGAAATATTATAGTATAAATGATGATTTAATTTATAAACATAAAAGAAATATCAACAGTTGAGATCATGAGTCAATTGAAGCTAGACCATCATGGAAAACGTGGAAGTAATGGTTGACCGTTTCGTCCGATTGTGGAACTCCATGATCCCGCCTCGCGAGATTCGAACCCAGAACCTATCGGTTTGAAAAGGGTAACAAGTTTTTCCAGTGGTTACAATGATATATATGAAGATATTTTCATAATCAAATACTGGCTATGCATAAGGGTCTTCAATCTTTCGAGGTCATATATCATTAGTATAATTCACTACTTGAGAGAAGACTTTGGTATGTAAGTATACTAGCTCTTTGAGATAAAGAAGTGAACATCTCATCTTAGTCTTATGATAAATGCAATTTTACAGAGATGAAATAAAACCTTCGCACTTACACTTACGTTTTATGTTAATCCGTATGATTTTATTCAAGTGAAAAAGGAAATGGTAAAACAATAGCTCATTTATCGAAATTAGACAGCTATTGACAACCAGAAAGTACTAGATAGATCAGTAACATTCAAAAATCTCTAAAAAATCCCCTTCTAATAATGATCATGTGCTTACCTCTGACTAGTTTTAAGATGCATCTCCTGGAGTTGTAACCAATAGAATTCAATCACGTCATATATAAGGAAGTTATCCATCAAAGACAATGGATAATATTCACTCAATAACGTTATCGTAGCTCAGTGGTCTGGAGGTTAAGATTTTGTACACAATAGCGAAGTTACTTATTAGTCCTATTCTAGAACGAAACACCAGCTCAATCCTTCTAGGTTTTTTATAATGGTCAAACTTACGCCTGTTATCCCCAAATGGAACACCGGCCGCAGACCAGCATTCTCCAACCCACTCTGTCCTAAGCCTTCCTTTCTAGTTCTATCCAATTGTTGTGCATTTTTCTCATGTCTGTCACGATTACTCGGCGTATTAGGTTCTTTGATCTTTCTCTCCTCCTTTGACCTTGAGGACTCCAAGTGATGAGGGCTTGCCTTGTGACACAATCCATTACTTTCCTCAATATGTCTCCTATCCACTCCGCTTGGAGCCCCTCCAGAGCTACATACTAATAAAAAGAGTCCCACAATAGGATGAAACGACCGGCCAGTGCTTCCATGGTTTTCCATGATCATCTACCTTGAATTCATTCATAATATCAACCAAATTGAAAAGTTTATTTGTTTATTCATTAATTGTATTTTTCTTATATATTTATTTTAAAGCTAAGATTATTATATGAATGTAATCCAATGGCATTTATCATAGAACAAGCTGGTGGCTTAGCAACAAATGGTAAAATTCCTATCTTAGATATACAACCAAATCATATACATGATCGTGCACCAATCTTTCTTGGTAGTCAAGAAGATGTCAAAGAATTAATGTGTATTATTGAAAAATTCTCTAATCATAATAAACCATAACTTTATCAAATAAGTATTAGAAAAGGGGGGGGCCGGAGTTTTATGAATATTCTAGTCGTTTGAATAATAGTTGAATACATGAATGAATTTAAAGTGCTAGATCATTATGGAAAACTTAGGCATAATGAATGTTGGTTTCGTCCTTACTGTAGGACTCTTCAGGAGCAACCTTCGTCGAAATAATTGTCTAGTGTTATTAGGTTTTCCATAGTGATCTAAATTCAATTAAACTTATAATTTCAACTATTCAAATTGTTATTAATTATTTAGCTTTCTTTTTTCTTCTTCTCATTTTGTTCATTTATCCTTATGTGTTTGTGTTAAGTTTGAATAAGAAAAACAAACAGCATACTGTTAAATCAATCTGTATTTTCTTGTATTATTTGTTTATTTTGATGTTTATGTGATTGAATGCTTGAATAATTCTCTAGTGGTTTAAAGATGTTATATCGGTTCGTCGCAATTGTTGTGCCGAAAAAAAAAACGCTGATCACTTATACTCAGAATGAGGGACCTCGGCAATATCAACGATGCGAAAGTAAGAACACACAAGAATGGTATAAGTGAAGATTTATTAACCCCAAAACACTATGACGGCGACGACGAATCAAAATAGTCTAAAATACACTCATTTATATATTGATTGTACACTCATTCTGATTAATAATTAGGATTAAATCACACACTTAGTTATAACAAATCACAGACTGTGAGCATAGTTCATGTCAAGTGAATACAAGAATATCTCGTTTATTATACAGAAGAAAATATCATACTGGGAGAACAAATCAAATACTACACTGAATGATCCTCATGTTGAATCAAAACGGATGTCGAATGTTCAATAAAACTCATAATGAGTAAATCAATCGAGAATTGATTTTTCTTTCAATCATATCAGATAGTAGGTTGGAATTCTACTTCGGTTTAGACAATTAGAGGGTAATATTATTAGGTCTTATTATACCTAGAATGTGGCTCAAAGTCAACTATACCAATTCCTATTCGTTATTGAATTCACAAAACCCCTTCTGATATTAATCAAAATATGTGCACTAATGACTGGATTTAAGAGGTATCTTTTCTGGAGTTGTAGTAACAAGCAGTGACCAGTGATGTTCAAACGGATCTGTTGTGAGATAGTAACTCACTGATAACAATGATGAATGTGTTGCTCAATTTTGCGGATTAGTTGAAGTTAGACATTAACATTGTTGTATGCTAGTCAGCTGAGTGGTCGAAATGTTAAATGTTTGGGTGCAAGACCGATAGGTCTTAGGTTCGAATCTCGCGAGACAGGATCATGTATGCGCACTGCTGAGGTGTCCCACAATAGGATGAAACAGTCGTTCAATGCGTCCAGGTTTTTCATGGTTATCTGGCTTCAATTGATTCATGATCTCAACGATTAAAATTATTAGTAATTTTTTGGAATACTTTCAATAATGTGTTTCAGAATCGTCTACGATGGCGCAGATACATTCATCCTTTGTCTTTCTTTAGATCCCAAGTATCTGAATTAATGGCAATTTATATCTTCTTTTCGAATCATATTTTCAATGCCTAATCTTATCTATTACCAATAAAATATTGTTTCTACCTCGACTACTTTCAGATTGATCTTAAAAGTTTCATTTCACCGTGTTAATGAGATATAACAACTTGAATCAATGTACACTTATAATGGGTTTCACATTGCATATGACTTATTGAATGGATTTGTTCAATACAATATGACCTTTTGTTTTAAATTGAAGCTAAATAGTCTTAGTCGTGTACGTATACTATTTTCATGATGATGTATAATAGTTTGTGATTCAAGAAAAGGATTCGAATGGTAATACTCGGTTGAATAGTGTAATCTGCAAGTTTTCATCATCTTAAGTGATGAGAAATCTGTGAGTACCAGCTCTCTTGTTAGAATAAATTCGAATGAGTTAAGTGAAATCAAAAAAGGTTAATTCATAATCACTTAAATCTCAACTAGATTGAGAGAATTCTATCAGCACCAAGGAATAGACAAATATGACATTTGTCATTACTCAATAATCGGTCAATGTATATCTTTTAGTCTCAAAGCGGATTAATTATGGCGCTAATAGTTGATTAACAATTCTTCAGATTGTGAGACTGATTGATTTAGGTTTAAATTCACAAAGGGTCGATAGTCTTTTCCAGGTTGAATATATTACCTATTGACAAATGTCAACTAACAAAGAATTCAGTTTAATAGTTTCAAACCGAATATCTTCAACTATCTAACTTAAAGTCAACTAAAGAGTATACAGATAGTAAGCTAAATAAATAATGCACATTGTAAAATGAAATCTTCAGAATACTTAGTCATTGATTTAAATAGAGATGTATTAATTGTTCGGTTATTCGCTGTTTTCGGTTGAGATCATAAACTGACTGATTTAAGAACACTATTGAGAACCTAGAAACACTGGACGACCGTTTCGTCCTATTATGGGACTCCTTAGCAGTGCGCATCCCATGATCCTGCCCACGGGATTCGAACCCAGAGCCTTCAGTCTTGCGCGCTCTTGACCACTCGAGCTGGCTGGTATCCAACGATGTTAATGTATAACCTCAAACAATCCACGAAAACGTGCGACAATCATCCATTGTACTGAGGTAAATACCTGTCTCTAACCGACACGGATTAGCTTCGCTGTTTATCATACAATATTCCCGAAACTTATGTTTCACATAATATTTAACCTAACATTCACGTATTTTCACCGAATGTCAGATCATTTAGACTAGTGATCATATCAAAACTTTATTGACAGAATTCTATGCTTACTAAGAATGAGACAAAAACTAAAATGTTTACTTCTCTTCTATTAGACATTAAAAGTCCTAGAATGTCTTTATAGTCACTTTGACTACTCATAAGTAGTTTAATTTTAAATGCTAATTTATACAAAATGACTTAGTGTTTAGTGTCCTTTCGCTCTGTGATAAATATAATGAAGGATTTGTCTTGAATTTTATGTAATCAACACTGGAAGATGGTTATATCGAGATGCTACTACAACGTAGTCACTTGAAAGACATCTCCTTACTACTGATATAAAAGTACGACTATATATATGTTGGATGTCATTGATTAACTATTGTAATGAGCCTGTTTGATTACGAGACTTCTGGTTTAAAACTCTACACATATCCAGAAAAAAAAATAAACACACGTTCGTGTTTTTCATTAAAAGTAGGAAAGCTTTAATTGGTATTACATGACAACATACTTTAACGTCTATGTACGGTAGTACCTTAAAGCAAATCGATTTATTTTGTATAAAGTGGTAACATGATGATGAATAGGCTTTTCAATATGAGCTACATTGTAGATATGTGTGACGACGGACCACCGGTGAACTCGAGGTAGCTGTAAGAGGCTTAGAAGGAGCCGAAGACGTTTCATCCAATCACCCTTCGGAAGAATCTTCTAGAAATCCAACGTGTAGCTTCCCGATAGGATAATGCTAATAACTCCCTGTATGCGGATTGGAGGACTGTAATGATGATTTCGTTCTCACTAAAAACTATTAATACCTGACAATTTTGTACTATGATTGACACTGTTTGGAATAATATTCCTTTCATTAGTCTACTGTCTTCTCATTGCGACTTGGAAGGGTTTGATGTTCTAGTGTTTTGTTATACGCGGTATATCGAGAAATCAACTTTTAAGATATAACAATATGAATAATCATACCCTGTAATGCATATTATATATATACACGTTTCTGTGAAATCTACATCGGTAGTGATAAAAATACTTGATTTTCATTTCAATACACTTCATTGGAAATATTGAAAACGAATGAATCATTTCAATATGATGAAAAGCTTATTTCATAGTGATAAATCTTACAAATTGAACGCTTTATTCGGTTCCTAAGCTATTCTGGTAACCCGCAAGCTAGAACTATGCAACGATCTGAACTTGAGAGAAAAGGTGCAATATAAGCAAAAAGCAATTTACTTCAAAGGTTCATTTTTGTGCAGACAAACATGGGTATTTATAGATAATTAGCATTTGTCCAATCAACATTATATTTTGGCCAATCTGCTAAGAGACATAATATACTACTGACCAATAGTAACATACCACGTTAATATTCTAGAAAGCTCCCTCATGCTCTGATTGGCTGAAACTCTTCGGCTCCTTTAGGGCCTCTGGAGGTTCCGTTGTAGTTCTCGGAAGCCAACTCAACACATAGTTTGTATTAAAAACCAACATTGGCTAGACAATCATCAGTGGAAATCAAGACGCAATGAATACTTGGCTCATCTGAATATGGGACCTCTCTCAGTCACATGCTTCCAAGGAAACGCTGAATTTTTAAGTTTCATAACGATGGCTTGACCTCCAGATCACCAAACGATACTATTCACAAACTAAATTATTCTATTTTATTGAAGAAGAAATAAAGATAGTTCAATGAACAGAATTTGCTTTTGTACCATGTCATCTACTAAGGTCTGATATCTTGAGACTCCGATCGACATCACATGCTATATTGCCCAACAAGAATCCCAATTATAGATTAGGTTACCGATATTCCCAGTATGATTGGTGACGTAAGTGCCTATTAAAACACCAACTAATGAACAATAATCAAGACCTTAACGCTTATTAGTCGTTGAGCTTCTTCTAACTCAGTAGTCAATCAGATGTTGTAAGTGGTAGAAAGCGGAACAAACTGTACATAATTAATTAATAATAATTAAGGGATAGTAAAATGCATAACAATGATTAGTAGGTTCACTGTAAGTTTATAATGAAGGGAGTATAGCAATTCAACAGTACAACTACCTACTAATTATACAGTAAAAATAAAGATAAGATTATTGCTCCATTCATAGAATCCGATCATCATGAAGAAGGGTCAGACATTGGTCATAACCTAGTGATCAACCAACTGTCAATGCATCTCACTTCTATAGAAGATCAATCAAGCTCTCGATAGCTGTGTGGCACACATCTGGGAATCTGAAGTTGGGTGACACGCGATTGAATCCTGCAAAGATCATCAATTCACTCAAGATTACAGGTACATCTTACTGACGAATGCCAAATATTACGATACCTAGGTCAGGTAGGGTTTCGTGTCGATAAGCTCTAATCACCGCCTTATAGAGAAAAGAAAGCTAAAGCTGCTAATATCTCAAAGTAATCAGTATCAGGTGTACGTATATGTACTCCATCATTAATGCGTATCATAAATATCCACATTTGACTTTCTCAACAAACGACACTGATGGAACATACGTTACTCATTTCTCTTATTCATAATTACCATAACATTGACTATCCATGAAGTCCTCTGTTGCTTTGTTTAGATAGGGGATATTCAAATCATTTGAAGCAACTGTTTTAAGAAGTCATGCAGGACATGACGTAAAATCAACCGTAATTGTATTTGTAGTCTCAAAGTCAACTTTGATTGGTAGATATTTGTTATATCCCGATGAGAATAACGAATGGTAACTGTTGGAATATATTTCTGGACTGTTACAATACATAATTATTAAGTAACTAAACTATGCATATTCATATTCCTCTTATTATAAGCATCATTTTGACTCATAGATGATTATTGTACGATTTACCATTCTTGAATTATGCCCAGTTTATTCATTACAGTCTCCCATATTCATGGCCACCTTTGGATAGATCTTGTACAAATGTTGTTCCCTATTTTATGGTACGATGTGGTCTGTTTGGTTTATATATAAGCCCAGTCTGTTTGAAATACATGATTCATATCGCAAAGGTTGAGTTTGGTGATCTGGGTTCAACGAACAGGGCTAGATAGGAAGCAGGACCGATAAGGACTCGGGAGTGCTCACACGTGTTTTATGCGTCCTTGATCCAATCGATAAGTCACTGCTCTCTAATTGGCGGTAACATTACGTTATATATTGATAAAACATAAGGCCACAAGTTATAACCAAACGCACGTAAGATTCAACATCAATGATAATCGACTGATTGTAAATACCGACTATGATTGGAAAGCATCCATCTAAAACTTATCATTCAATTACAATTTATTTAAACTATATCATGATTACACTGGTTGAAATCATGAGTCAATTGAAGCTAGACCACCATGGAAAACCTGGAGGCACTGGAAGGCCGTTTCGTCCTAGACATTAACACCGCTGGGTGCCGGCTCAGTGGTCTGGTTAGTTAAGCGCCTTGCGCGGGATTGATAAGTCCCGGGCTCAAATCTCGCGGGGGGCGGGATCGTGGATGCGCACGGCTGAGGAGTCCCATACTAGGACGGGACGGCCGTCCAGTGTTTCGAGATTTTCCATGGTGGTCTAGCTTCAAATGACTCATGATTTCAACCAGTGAAATTTCTAAAATCTCCACAAAACCCATTCTGATATATCATAATTAATAATAATTGTTCATATTTACAAGTGATTGATCACTGGGTGATGATCAATGTCATGTATGTCAGGTCCTTCTTAGCACAGATCGAATCCTATCTACCGAATAGTAATGTGGCCAATAATACAAGCGACTCGATATTGCGTGCACTATCTTGAGATATGATGGTGGTTGGAGTTAATCAGCAGGATACCCTGAACCTATGTTTCGTGCTATTTGGAACTCGTCAGCAAGGTGTGCCTGTAATCTTAAGGGAACTGATGATGTCTGACAGATTCGATTACGTGTGACCCAGCTTCACAATCAGAGATGTTACCACTGACCTATCCGGATCGCAACTGACCTCTTGTAGGACTGACACGTATTTACAATTGATTGATCAATTGTTGATGATGTCATATCCTTCTTAGTACAGATCGAATCAAATT